GTCTTCCTCCTCCGCGCGGCACTGGATGGCGCGGGCCATCCTTGTTGGGCTGCGACGCGGCGATGGCGGCTGGCGACGGGGGCGCGGCCTGCCGGCGGCGGCGTGGGTGGTGGTGCGGGCTGGGGGCGTGCCCTGCTCCCGGCGGTGGTGGTGTTTGGGCACGGGCCTGATCTATCGCAGCTGCGGCTCAGGTGACCTGGGCCCTTGTGGTGGCGGGGCTTCGGCCCGCCGCAGGTGGTGGCTTGCTCCGGTGGCCGCCCCTGCTACGGCGCTCCCTAGTGGTGGTGGGCCTGCCAGCCCCCGGCCGATCCAGTGATGGCAGGGGCCGCGGGTTGTGCTCGGCATGGATGTGGGCTACCACGGCGTGGTGGTGGCTCATGGCGGTGGTCAAGATCGTCTCACGGCGGCTGCTGGACTTCTTTGGCGTCGGCCCGTAGGTGTGCGGCCTGTGAAGGGCTTCGACCCCTCTTCTCGATGCCCGGGCGCAATCTTCATCTATGGGATGGCCCTCTCCCTTCTGCGACCCATCGCTAGTCTCGTGCACGGGCAGCAGGACCGAGCTCGTCTCGCGCCCGACAGCAGGACCTACTCGTCTCGCTCCCGGCAGCAGGACCGAGCTCGTCCCGCGCCCGGAGCTGTAGGACGAATCGATGGACTTGTTTGCCCCGGGATCCGATCGTCTCTTCCGCTGGGGTAGCGGCAGGTGTCGGGTGAGGTGGTTCCTGGGTCTTGGATTCCGGGGCGGCGGCCCTGGTGGTGGTTGTGTGGTGCTCACGGGCAGAGCCAGTCGCTTGGTGCTGCCCGGTGGACATGGCCGTGTGGGCGGCGTGCTTGTCGGGGGTGCGGCGTTTGATGGCAATGAGTATTGGCCGGGGTGAAAACCTGCTCTATCTTCGGACAGACCGGCGGCGGCGTAGCTCGTTGCCTTCTTAAAGGCGTTGTCGCGGCTCTCTCATTGTTTGTCGTGTGGTTCCTAGGGAAACCTTGATCCTCGGATCGGGCGGTGGCGGCACTCCGGTGTCGTACCCTTCCTGAAGGCACCGTCTTGGAGCTCACGGTTCGTCGTATGCGGTTGCATCTCTTCGTGGTGGCGTGTTCACTGGGTGGAGCCCCGGTTGCTCGAGTAGTGCTTGGGGTCGTGTTGCCGCGCTCAGTGTCTATGTATCTCGCCTTGGGTGTGTGCATGTGTTGTGGTGGAGTGCGTCTGTACCAGGATGTTGTTGATCTTGCTTTATTTATAAAGCGGGGCGAAAGCATTTTTTGGTAATGTATATGGACGCATTTTAGAGTGTAGATTCACTCATGTTACTCGGCATGTAGTCTGTATTGGAATCTAGAAAAAGACTTATATTTAGGAACGAATGGAGTATATTTTAGAAGGTTTTCAAATTAAGAAACACAAAATGCTTACTCAATACGTATGACAACTCATAAGCAGGAAACATAATAGCTGCAGCGACGTTAACTAAATGAACTACATCAACTAATGAAATAAGATATTGGACCATTAAGCGCTGATCGGTCAACGTATATGATTTTGATGTATCAATTTATTGCCTAAACTCATAATTTCAGCATATAATGAAATTGCTTATTTGGAGCATCATCGGGTTCAAACAAGATTTGTGAAAAAAAAAGTAACCAGAGGCAGTGAATCTCATTTAACTCAGGCTCCAGCAGAGTATTTCGCTAGCTAGCTGTTGGTACCATGACTGTGAGCACAACTTTCGAAATTCAAACAAAGCACACAATCAATGGTACAGCGCAAACGATAATCTATTATTATATCTAAATAGGAGCACCCCACTACCTGATTTTGCTGCCCTCACAGTTAACCACGTCACCACAAATACTTGCATCCATTCGATTAACCACGGGTGGCCAGATCTGCAGTTCTTGCGTTGAACCTCCCGCAGTCTATCCCCCTTGCGTTGGTTCCACTTCCACGTTGCTCCACCTCCCTTGGCTCCTCACCTCCAAGAACGCAGCACCAAATGCAGCCGCCTATTCCCCTTCCACTTTCACTTTAATTCCCAACCAATCTGGCCTTCGCTACTCCATCTTATTGGTTCGCATCTCCAAATCTGACACCAGTGCGAGATGCCGCCTCCCACGCTCACAAGCCACGCCAAATCGGCGGCTTCCCGTCCATGAGTACTCGCCTCCCCCTGGTAGGAATCAGTGCCCAGCTGGCCTGATGTTGTTGCTGGTATTGTTGCCGCTCCCATTAATAGACAAGTATTGGACGAGACAAAATTTTCAGCGGGTGGCTCAAACGGGGTGGTCCATGCATGCAACAGTCTACAACAGTCTTACCCTGCCCTCCCGAATTCCTCATTTCTTTAGCTTTTACATTCAACCAACTGAACTTACCATTTTTTATGGTATAAGCATGGATGAGTTGATTGGTTCCGTTCACTTTATTTCTCCTACTCATAGGAGCGTCAGTGGTTTTAATCTGCTGCTAGTTGCCTGGCACTTGGTGAGAGACCTATGTGATATTAGAGCACTTTCATGTAACCTCTTTTGAAGTACCTCTGTCCAGGTACAGTTTCTAAAAGAATAGATAAGTCGCATCACTGAAAGGCAAAGGTTTTGCTTTTTTGGCAACAGTCGACATATTTGGACAAAGTCCATGTGTAATAATGTTACTTCACTGGGTTTTGGTCATACATTTATTTGAATTTTTTTGATTGGTGATATATCAGTATCTCATTTGGTTGGTACTGCATATTTGAACATTGGACACACTATCGCAGTTTCATCTGGTACTATTTTCACATTGCACATAAACTATACACTTGCAATTTGAGTTCACAAGTTTTACTTGATTGCTCATTTTAATCAAAGCACTATTAATCTCTACTTTGGCAACACCCCACCATTAACTTCCTTTATAGTAGTACAGCAAAGCTCTTTCAAGCTTAGTGATGGTAAGAATTAATTTTGTATTTAGCTGAATACAAGGTGCAGACAACTTTATCAGGAAAAATAGATCGAAAAGGGTAATATCAATAATTATTTTTTTCCAACGGAGCCAAACAACCTATTAGTAAGTCCATTGCTTTCTTAACTCTAGCAAGTCAATTTAGCTGTCTTTTGTTTGCCGAAATTCCATTTAAGTGTCCGTATTTATTTTAATATTATTTGGATTTATATAAATTATAAGAAACTATGCATGTGTTGTTTTTGTTAGGTTGCACATGTGTACCCATCAATAGGTTCTTATAAAATGTTCCGTAGCAACGCGCGGGTATCACCTAGTTCACATAGTGCAAGACGCCTTTGCCTAAAAATTAAAAAACCATTCACAGCATGAAGGCACTAAAGAGTAAATGGGCACACACAAATTACAGGGCAACAAAGATCAGTAGAGCAGTAGAGCATTACAGCCAAGATAAACAAGAACATATATATATACACGTAGGTCTATCTCCTAGCTAGTCCTAGCGTTGCACGTTGAGCATATCTCCTTGGCCTCCATCAGCTCGATCGCCTTGCACGGCATCACTTGTGTACTTGCTCAGCAGCTCCTCCTTCTTCTCTAGCACCGTTCGCTCAATCTCCTCCTCAACCTCCTCCTCCACCTCCTCGAACAGCACCTCTCTAGCAGTAGCAGCCTCCCCACCACTCCCACCTGCTGCAGCCGCCACCTCGCCACTCGCCACATTCTTCATGGCCTCCCGCGCCACACGATGCCACTCCGTGACAACCTCGTGCCGCATGCGCTTCTCAGCAGCAGCCTCATGGGGTTCAAGCGCACCGTCCTCGTCGTCATAGTAATAGTATCTGCAGTACCCGGCATTGATGCGCTTGTGAATCCCGTAGCGGGTGCCGCGCTTGCGGACGTCAAGTGGCTTGTCAAATAGCTCACGGACGCCGGGGAGCTTCTTGGCAGCGCCAAAGTAGTGGTAGCCCGGTCCACGGCCCGAGGGGTTGGGGATGGCGACGATGTTGCCGTCGAGGTCGGTCATCAGGGCGGCGTCGGAGCTCCGAGAGTAGTCGTGGCCTCCGAGCTCGAGGATGCGGCGCTCCCAGTGGCTGCGCTCGCGGAGAAGCTTGTTGATCTGGTCGTTGAGATCTCGGAGGCGGTGCTCCCCGAGTCCCTCGTTCTGGATCTCGGCCAACCTGACGCCGATCTCGCGCAGGACCTCACCACGCCAGCGGTCGGCGTCGGCGAGGTCCCGGCACTGGGAGGCGAGGTACGGCCGGCGCTCGCGGGGCTTGCTCTTCTCCTCCTGCTTCATCGTGGTGAAGCGGTTCAGCAAGGACTGCGCTTTCTCCTCGTTACGAGCCATGGTGGGCGGTCGCGCACAGCGGCCGGTGGCAGCGGCGCCGATGTTCGCTCGCGAGCTTGGGGACGAGGGTTTGTGTGGACGAGGGATTGGGGTTTGCGGGCTGGGCTACCTTTATATATTACGTTATATATAAGAGGAAGCAGCTTCGATGTCACCATTAGGGTCCTTTTTTCACAGTATCACATTGACATGATAGTTAAGAAAGATGAGGAACAACCATGGCGGATAACCTGCATTTATGGTGAAGCAAATGTCAACGAACGACAGAAGACTTGGGACCTGCTGAGGTTCCTCCGAAGTGAATCCAACCTGCCCTGGGTATGCATTGGCGACTTCAACGAAGTACTATCGGCAGACGAACATTTTGGAGTTGGCGAAAGAAATCCGAGGCAGATGACGGGATTCAGGGAAGCTGTTGATGTCGCTGGTCTATGCGACTTGGGTTTTATTGGTCCTTCATGGACTTTTGAAAAGAAAGTGA